AGGAATTTTGGAACAGAGTTTTTGTAGAGAGGACAATAAATATTAGAATGCTATTGGTTGCGTGATCTGTTTTCTTTGTCAAATCGAAGCCTCATTTCTTTTATCCAGTAATTTATAAATTGCAGTTTTAAAAATGTTGAATTCCAAATAGCTTTCATACATTAATTTTTAAAAAATATTTTATTATTTTTGTTTTTTATGTGCATGAGTGCTATGCCTGCATGCATGTAAGTGTACCATGTTGTCCAAATGCCCAAGGAGGCCAGAAGAGGGCATTGGATCCCCTGGGACTGGAGTTAGGGGTGGTTGTTAGCTACCATGTGGGTGCTGGGAACTGAACCCAGGTCCTCTGCAAGAGCAGCCAGTGCTCTTAACTGCTGAGCCATCTCTCCAGTCTCCTCATTAGTTAATTTTGTGTATATTACAATAACACCACCCAACCCCCACTTAGAAATGAAGGTATCGTCAACCCTAATAGCAAGAATTAAGCAAAGTAGGTAGGCAATATTTCCTGTGACTCAAATATTTTCAAGTGCTTTATCACAGTTCTTTGGCATATACTTCCAATAATAGACATGGAGCTAACTTCCTGCTCTCACTCAAGTATGAAATATTAGTCACTGTCTTAACTGTTCCCCTGGGGCTTTGTACCCAGCCTCATTTGGGTGAATCATTTGGGAGGCTCTGAAGCAAGGTGCTGGTGAAAGAGACTGTTTTGAGAGGGTTTTTGTCAGCATCCTTTGCACAGCTAAGTAATGATAAGAGATCCTAGCAAGCGAAGGAGACAGATGCTTGAGTAAGAGGGAGCAAGTGGAGCTTCCAAAGATTGCTTTCATGATGTTTCTCTACTGTGTCCTATAATAACTTTTTCAAATTTAAAGATTACATTTATTTATTGATTGACTGATTATGCATGCATGTGCATGTGACCCCACATGCACATGGAAGTCAGAGAACAACCTGCAGGAGTTGGTTCTCTCCTTCCACTATGTGGGTTCCAGGTATTAAACTCAGGATATCATGCTTGGTAGCAGGCACATTTACCGACTGAGCCATCCTGCCAGCTTTCAATAACTACTTTTTAAAAGATATTAATCATTAAGATTTAAGAATGTTTTCAGACTATAAAAAGCCCAGTTGTCTCTGTGATGTTCTTAAACGTCTAAAATAATGAAAAGTCTAATTTAAGTAGAAATCTGAAGGACTTATGATTTAATAGGCAGACCAGCTATCCAAGAACATTTTCTAGCAAAATTTATGATTGAAATAGATACTTAAAAGAATTTTGAGACTGTAAAGATATAGGCACAGGCTCCTCCTAGCACAGTGGGAAATAGTGACAGCATGGAATTCATAGGGAAGAGGGGAGAGACTGCTTCCTGGAATTGTCACATAAACACACACACACACACACACACTGTCAGAATGGATGAAATGGGACCAAATTAGGGGGATCTATTTCATCCAAACCATTAGAATTCCTTTGGATATTCCAAAATCATCTTTCTTTCCAATAATCTATTAGTAGTTTGTCTTTGGTACACACAGACAGATAGACACACAGACACACAGACACACACACACAACTGAGTAGTAAGGCTTCCATTGGGTGTCCCTCTGGGTACTGTAGTTTTCAGGTTGGCACCATAATCTCTAGGCTTTCTTGTCTTCCACTGACAAGGTCTGTTCTTTGATGCCCTCGCTTCAGCCTGCCACCTTCATATCAGGCAGCAGTCTGCTGTTCTAACTTTTAGGAGAGATCCCCTGCTCTGTGCTGCCTCAAAGTCTTGATGGGTGATTGAGTAGCAGGCATACTTGATGAAAGGTTGGCACGAGATTTCAAAAGAAAGCTATGCCCTGCTGTGTTTCCATAACTAGAATTGTAAAGGTCAGTTTGAACCAACATGTTTCAATCCTAAGGACTGACTCTAGTGGTAAAAATTGGGTTTTTCAGACTTAAAGTTGAACAATCTGTAGGCAGTTGGGTCTTTGTTTTCTTTTTTTAAATTTTATTTATTATTTTTATTTTATGTGTATGAGTGTATTGCCTGCGTGTGTGTAAGTGCACCCATGTTGTGCTGTGCTTGCAGAGGTCAGAAGGCATCAGATCTGGAACTGGAGTTACAGACGGTTGTTAGCTGCAGTGTAGGTGCTGGGAATCAAACCTGGGTCCTCTGCAAGAGCAGCCAGTGTTCTTAACTGCTGAGCCGTCTCTCCAGTTCAGATCTTTGTTTTCTTAAAATGTGCCTTCCAAGTGACTCCTTGTTTCACCTTGTCTCAAGCTACCTCTCACCCACTAACTCTGGAATTCACATGGACCCTCCAACAAGATTTGGAATACATTTTCAGAGCAGGAGCTGGCAGCCCACTGGTTCTCCATGACAGGAGCGTCTGTTCAGGGGTTTCCCTGAAAGCATGACT